TCGGTGGTAATAGTTGCAGAGACGCCATAATGAAAGATCCAGTGTCGCCGAAAGGCATGGGCAACGGAATCTGCAGTTATGTTAGGTACGGGAGTTGCAATGGGCCAACAAGTAGATTCGTTAACCGCATTCTCCTCCCCCACCTGGGCTCGGTGTCATCGTCCTAGCTGCTCGTACTCTCTCAGTCACAGCATACACTGTCCTACTTATTCTGCCTTCTGCAATAAAAATGACACTGGGCCAAATTCCAGGGAGATTAAAGTTAGGTTTTTGTTATGGTCCAGGGTAGGGTTGGGGTTAATGCTAGGGGCGGCGGGTCGAGTTAAGGTTCTGGTTAGGGCTACGACACGGAATTTAGCGCAGGCCACCCCCGTATTACGTAAAGGTTCATTTTCCCACGTCTTACCTTGCTGATTTTTCGTTGCCCACTCTTACCCATTGTCACCTTAACGCAAAAATGCTTCACCAAAACATCCGAATGGCAGTGGAGAGGATGCCTATCTGACGGCCTTCAACTCTTGCGCTTTGATTTTTTCAGTGTTCTCGTCTGCCTTTGGAATTGACTGTCATCTTGTCTTTGTTTTGAGAAGGTATCACCTCTTGCTCAATAATCCATGAGATTCACTCAAAGCATTTACCCGTGGTTGCGCTGTCGTACTTTCGACAATGTATCCATTGCGAAAAGAGTACCAAAAAGGCAACAGAAACTGAAATGTCCGTGCCTGGCCCATTTACACATCTCTCGCTGTGTACCCGGCTAGGTGAGGCACCACCTCCATTTGCTTCTCAATATATGCACTGACTGTTCACCACTTTGCCTAGTTTTGTCAGGTCCCCTTAATGACAGTTCGTTGACGTAAATAACCGCCCGTCAGTCATTTCCGTCGCTGGATGCGGTTGCAGTTGCCTATCGGCCCTGTCAGTTCGCGGCTCGTGACATGGCCCTGTTTCGGCGACGGTTTAACGTGTGGGGGTGCCAAGGAGGGACATCAGTGCACATGTAGTAGGTCGCACCGTGCAAGTGGTGACAGCTTCTCAGGCTCCTTAACTGACACCACACTTCCTATGCGACTCCCCGAAGCTAGGACATGTCTAGCGGGCACACTCCGGTAACAACCTCGACCGGCGGGCTAGACCATATGAGGGTATACAATGGTGTTTGTCCCCCCCCCCCCACCCGGTAATTCTATTCCCACTGCCACCCCTCCTCCTTCTTCCCCTCCTTCCGACAAACCCTCCCCTCCCACCCTCTCCCTTTCATTCCGTTCTCCCTCCTTCCACTTCCAAAAAGTCCTACGGAGAGGGTGACTTGCAGTTCCGTAGGCGGCACAGGCTATCTCGGTCGCTCTCCCACTAAATCAAGCCGTGATCCATAGTGGAGTCGGCAACCGTCTGGGGTGTCAAAGCAGCTATAGCAAACCGTGGTTCTCAGATGGACAGCTTGCGGTCGAAACAATCAAACGAACTGCAGCGTATCCTGCCCGGGCCGTCAGGACATCAGGCCACAAACATGTGACAAGCGAACTGTCAAGGTCAGGACCCCTGTCCCCACCTTCTTTGTGCTGATTGGCCACCCAGCAGCCTATGACAGTCCCCCTTGCCATATACCCGGCCGTATCCACAAGCCTTCTCACTTGTGCTGTCTATCGTACTCAGTACACGCCCTATTTCCAATTAACCGTCTGCTTTGTATACATAACAGTCCGAGTCTCCTGTACCATGACAGCGACAACGGATGCATTGTTTAAACTCCTTTATGGACATCCTTACGACCATAGGTACTCACTAGGGGGAAGGAGCACGTGACTCCCCGAAGAGCGGTCGAGTCTTGTTACACCAGGGGAGCGTGTCGGCACATAGTCCTATTATCTTCAACTGAACAGAATCCTTTAAAATTATATGGTTAATCCTCTATACAGCAGAATTGTTGAACTTCGTAATTTCAGTGGTCCATGGCCAGAAGACATTATTTCAGTGATACTCGAGGCACAGTCAGGGTAGTGTCCACCCCAGACTAATTTCTCGATCACAAAAGAAAAAGGCAAGGTTTAACACCTTTCGCGAGTCCGCCTAGAGTGATTTCGCAATATCATTTGCTCGATAAGGAGAGCTTTTCCAAATTAAACGCCAGCAAAGACAGGGTTAGTTAGACAGCTCTTACAGCGGCGAGAGGGCGTACGAGCGACTCAGCAGGCAGTGACGGCAGTTTTTCTCACCAAACCAGCTGCCAACAGTTGGAGTTGTTCACCGCGGCACGAGGCGTACGATTGCGCCTGAGCTTTATCTGCTGTAAGTAACCAGCAAAGGCTACAACGTCTGTTGCCATCAAGCTCTTGCCACGACAGCTCGACCGTCATCACCGACGACGTCCATCGTGTGCTCCACAGCAGGTTGAGAGCAGGGACAGTGACTTGCGCGTGAGTTAGACTAAACTGATAGTAGGCTTGCGGCACACCTGTCGTACTCTCTTCTCCCTCACCCAGCATCCGGATCCGATGTCCGGACAGAGTCAGAGAGATCGGAGGCGAAGGAGAGTACAGGTGGCTGACAACGCGCGAACCTACACCTAGTCGCACCACCACATCCTCTGGTCCACAACATACACTGAACAGGATTGTATACATCAGGAAAATGGGAGACGCCCTGGATCCCAATGGGTGGGATTGTCATATGGGCCACATTAAGGGGGCGCCACTGCTGCCTGACTCCCAGTCCACAAGCCAATTACTCAAATCACAGGCGTACAACTGGGCTGACTGTGTGACCTGAGTTGAAGCGTCATTTGGCAACTTTCCAGGCCACGGCTTTTAGCGCAGCCTGATAGATTCAAACGCTCAAGTCTTTTATAGTGAGCAATACGCGCCGAGACTATCTACTTCACTCTCTCTTCCAATCGACTGTCAGAGTCGGTCCGATGTCTAGTGCCGGAAGTGGACGCAATGGGTGACAGAGTTAGAGGCCTCGTCTGCGCGTGCAAGCATTTCAGGTAACAATCGGGAGATGGCACCCAAAAAATTTCGCCTAACCAAAGCAGCCTGTCTTATGGGACAGTTGGTAATAGGGGTTTTATGGGTGGTGGCTGGTCGGGATGTAAGATGCAAGCCGAGAGAAAGCCTTATTTAAACAGGTGAATGATCGATGTTGGCCCGCTCTTCGTTCCTTTATTAGAAAATGGGTCGTCAAATGCAGTATAATGGGAACGGGCGAGTGCAAGGCGTATAATCATCTTCACTCAGAAAGTTATCTGCATTGCTCTGTCAACCACTCAAAGAACTTCAAGGACCCTACCACCGGACGGCACACCAATGCCATTGAGGCATACTGAAGAGGGCTGAAAAGAAAACTCTACGAGGGAGGCCCTGTATGTGGTCAAGTTGTGTGGGCTCATATAGACGAAGTACAGTATCGTCTTTGATTTGGCCTCAATGTCATGTCTTTTACAGATGCCTGGGAACTGTTCCTGTCACATGTAAGGCACTTTACAGATAAAAAAACTAATTACATGCGATTTTTCATCTAATCAAGAGCATAGACGTCCGTTCCCTTCGGCGACTAAGCTACATATTTGGGTGTCTTCAAAATATGACTCAGTCCGTTGTCTGCATAAAAAGAACCTCCGAGAACCCACTACACTAGTAAGGCTTTCAAAAACTGCCATATTTTGAAGGTTTCGATGGAAGTAGACCACGGAAGTTAGCTTCTTGAAACAACAACTTGGTACACTGAAAGTTGTAGTCGGAAGGCACACAGGAGGTCAGTATATTTTAAGGGCAATAGGCAATGCCTTTGAAAACCCTATAATGGAAGAAAAGTTCTCCTAACTCATAGAAAATGGCATGTTTACGATTTCATTTGCCAACGGTATTCCATGACCTTAGTCACTGACCCGCCTTTCGACAGATGGCCTTGCATAAACTTGTACACGAAATCGAGCGATATCCTCTTCAACCTACTCAGCCGCATTTAACGCAATATGAAGACGGGAAATGACACTTAACCCTCGAAAAATCATTTTGGATGCCTAACTAAACATCGAGCATTTGACTGACTGACAGACTGAATGTTAGACTTTTAGAGGCCAATTTCCCCAAGGATTTTCTAAAAACTGCTTTTTAACCGATGTTTTGTTTGTGATGTTTTAATTAGTCAGTTGTTTGTATGGGCAGGCTTCATGTACTTCTGCAGATTTAATTTTATCATTCGACGCGGACGTTAGTTCTCTCCGTACTTTCGGTTTTCATAAGAAAATTGATATTTCTATGCAGCGTAATAGTACTTTCAATATTAAGTTTTGTTTTTCCACTTCAACAAAGGTAGTCTATCATTATTTGGGGAGCTTCGACCAATGCGTATGAATCGGTTTCCAACTGGTTAGAATTTTTGTCATTGATTTACGCACATTTCATGACTTCAGTCTTCTAGTGAGCACGATAGCGGTTACCCATACGGCATCTACCACGACGATGACCAACGCCGATTAAGACGGGCGAATCATCGCGCAGAGTCTGACATTTCGAGACCATGTAATTCTGGGGACTGCATAATGTCCTCTGTAAAGAGGACAATATTTGCAGTTTACGGCCCAGCTGCACGTTTATAAGTTTCCCCATTTATCGCTGTTTTTCAAGATATCCTTTATTTTATGTCTTTTTGGTAGTTAATTATGAGGTGTTTGATAGGCGAGACAGTCCTGAATGTATGTGGGAACTTTAAGAAGTCGCCGGTCATTACATGAGTTATAGAAGTATAGAAGGGACAGTAGCCAAACTGAGGAGACAAGAAGTTGAAAATTGAAAGCATCGTGTGCATTTTTAATGAGATATATCCGCGGATGACGAACAAACTGACGGAGACGAAGAGAAAATAAATTATTTTTATCGGCAGCAGTGGTAGTAGTGTTGGTGGCAGGAGCACCCTTGGTTATGGTGATAGGAGCCACAGGAATGGAGAGGACGCAAAGTGCTCTGGCACTAGTAAACGGCAAAATAAATGCAAGCCATTTACTTTCTTCTCATGAATTCAATCCATTCCTCCTCCTTTCCGCGAACCAGTTTCTCTGCCTGGTAAAGCCGCTGAGCAAGTGGACACCGTTTTGTTTCAGGTATAAAGGCCAGTATTAACAGCGCGCCCAAAAGAATGACGATTGCATAAATGGCTCCCGGCACAGAGTAATGGATAGCATCCGTGTAGTTGATGACTGGGGCAAAACAGGATACGGCGCAGCCGAATGACATGGTCAAGAAGACGCCCATGTTACGTATCGTTGTGGGGTATATTTCCGTCACGATGAGGATGGCTAAGCCAACCATGCAGGAGGCGGTCACCTTCCCAAGAAAGACAACCATGGCGCAAGCAACATCCGACAGCGGCCTCACCACCGGGCCAATCAAAACAGCCGTGGCCGTGATAACGGCTAGAATAGTCACTGACAGCCGCCTACAGAAGAAGTGGGCCATCGCCCAACCGATAAACGGCGCGGGCAGTTCACCTAGACCCATGCAAAGCACATTCAGGAAAATATTGTTGCTAGCAAAATTTTGGCTCGTAGATAGACCATAGAAAGAAAGACACGCGGTCGACATGTGAAGGCATAAAATGAGAGTTTTTTTGCGCATGTTTGGCAGAGCAGAAATGTCGCTTATCTTATCTGTAACGGCGAAAGAGACCGCCTTTGATTCGTCGTCCGCATTGGCTAAGTCGGCTCGATTGTTAGGGAACTGATTGTGAGTTTCAGATCCGATAATCGATTTAACCGCTTCATCCTCGAAATCCTCGGTCAGACTCACCTTGTTCCAGTGTGCGATCCTCCTTAAAAGAACGCGAAACTTTGCGTACTCGCCATTAGCTGACAGCCACCTAAGTGACTCAGGCATTATGAAGAATATTGGGATGTAGGAGATCATGAGGGGCAGGCCGTAGATCCGAAACCAATACCAGTCTCGGGTCAGGTAGGCTAAACCTGCCGAACCTACGTACCCAAGCACGAAGGGCATCCAATAAAGAGTGCCAAAGAGGCCCCGCTTTCGCGTGGGCAAAAGCTCCTGTAGAATGCAAGAAGCCACATAGTTTAGAGGCATGGTCAGCATACGCACCAATCGCAGCATAAAAATGACTTCAAAGTAGGTACCAAATTGGGTTGTGCCGGTAACTATGATCTCAGCAACCACGTAGAAGATTAGCAACTTCCGGCGACTGATTTTGTCCGTAAAGACTGCGATAGCATGTCCCACAGCGATAAAGAAAAACATGCTACTAGACAGCCACTTGATCAGATCTTTACGGCCGCAAATCAGAGTAAAGTCCGTAGGCAAAGTTCGACGCATGACTGACTGATCGAAGTGCCACTCTGAGCAAACGAACAATTCCAATTGGCTGGTGTCATTGCGTCGTCCTATGGCCCAGCATTGTTCTTCAACGGTATCATTTGCGGGAACTCTATCCATACCAGAAGGGTCGTTAAAGAGAGCAGCAAAGGTCGAGGAAGAAATCCATCTAATGCTGGAGAGGTCTCTTAATCGCGAATCTGAACAACTGAAGGAGGGAGTATAGTGCATGAAGATCATTGACTGATACTCGTAGGACATCATCATCGAAGAGAGTGAACAGCAGATGGTGAGGACGATCTGGTACAGACCTGTTCCGTAGAGTCTCTCCAGAACCTCGTCGTAACTAAAGGCCATACTCCGGCTTCTGGAGCAGAACACACGCTACCCACCTCAATTGAGCACAAGTGACCACGAAGGCGTTCTCTGTGATACTACATGCCACCACGAAGATCTGCAATCTCGCTCTCATCTTGTCATTGGCCAACACGTGCGAGAGATGATTTAATGTGACGCCCAATTTCTGAAATCAGCGGGACGATCTCGTATATTTTTAGTGTCAAACTGTCGCAAACAAAAGTGTGCGTGTTTGCGTTTGTGTGCGCACAGGGGAAAAATGTGCCAAGGCACTCAAGTCATACACAAACGTGAGTGGTTCCAGTTAACAAGAAAGACTTCTTTCAGGGAAAGACGACGCTCACCTGCGGTAAGAATTAAGCCACAAAGCCCCGGCGACTTGTGTACTGGCTCCAGAGGAATGGATTTGTGGGTAAGCTCAGAATCAGGCATCCCAAGCAAACGCTCGCGCGTCTTCGGCTGCCCTGAGCAGTGCGATTCCAGCAAGGGTCCAACCAGAGGATACGAAACCTAATCGGGTTGGCCTCGCTGCCGAATCGCGTTTCTTAATCGAAACTGGCAAGGCCGGGAGCTAAAGTGGATGTTTGGGAGCCGGGCACAGGCACCCATCAGGACAGGTTGTGGCGCTGGCTTTCCAAACGGAGCTAGCGGGAGACAGGAATAGCCCTCCCCCCCCCCCAGAAGACTGAAGCTGTTTGCACATACCTTCGTTCCCTGACTGTTTATCAGTGCATAACCGCTCGTTAGAAAACTAGACTGACCTTTAGTGACTGTTTATCAGTGCATAACCGCTCGTTAGAAAACTAGACTGACCTTTAGTGCAAGACGCAGGAGGAGCGCCCTACTCGACAAACAGGGCAGATCCAGAAAGCAAAGTCCCATCCAGAGTGATCGCCCCTGGCCGGGATCGACGCAAAGCGAGCCAATGACCCGACGGCAGATGGCCGAACCCCGGATGGCCCCAAAAAGATTGACTGGAATTCATACCGAGTTTACTGGACCATCCGACTCACAATGCCGCAGCCGCCCCTCTCAGTGCAAAGCCTTTGATTCTCAGCGGCACTTCGCTATGAGATCACTGTAGCCTGGACTCGAGGCTCAAACAACGGAAGCTGAGTCCGTCCCAGTTATTAACCCCTGCTTTTCCCCGAGTCTCCACTTGATTAGCCAACTTGGCAAGAAGTCACCAAATCAGTTCTTGCCTAAACCACGGTTAACAGGAATCAGCAGCAGAGCTGGTGTGACTAAGATAACTTTAGCCGGGGTTAATATAAAGTCCCCAATTTTCTTGATCACTCTTTTTCTATTAGGAAGAGGCTAAGGATAAGAATGGGTTATGAATTGTAGACTACAAAAGGAGCTTCCCTTGTCCTTTTTCCTAGGAGAGTTGCCCGAGGGAACTTCCATCTTATTAGCACTAACTAATGAAGTTCAGGAAAAGGGGTCACATTTTTACGCCGTACTGGATCGAGGGCTTAGAAATAACTCTGGATTAGAAAAATGGCCGCTGCTTTTTACTCTAATACATAGGAGTGGATATAATAAAAAAGACCTTTTAGGAAAGCACTTGCGATCGACGTCGCGCCCTTTTGCACGCAAAAAACAAACAATTATTCTGATATAAAATATTATAATTATTCTGAGGAGCATCAACGAATATAAGAATGAAAATTTCCGTGGAAAGAAATACGAAAATGTGCTATAAAATCCAACATGAAGGCCGAGGACGCAAACGGTTGTTCACCGCTAAAAAAGAAATTTAGTTTATTTTAAATTCTACGCGGTTAGCTACAAGGCATACATGTATGCATGACAAAAAACCGCCAAAAAAATGACTTTCTAGCAAATAATTTCCCGTCAACTTAAGGAACTCTTAGGCTGCCCCTAAGCACACATAAGTGTATGTAAACGGCAAAGATGACGGCGAAAATTGATCTTCTGTTGCGTAATTTGCCCTCCACCTGAGTGAAAATGCGGCAACAGATTTCCCCATAGATGGGATAACTCTAAAAGGCATCTTCGGCCTGGTGGGGTTTGCAAGTTATAGGTCCGAGACCGGTCAGGAATACAGGGCCAACGGTCGTCGATGCTGATGCAGAAGCAGCAATAAAAACGGCAGACAGACACCTCGACACTCCTTGTTCCGGATAAATATAAATTCCAGTCGACTTAAAAAGTATGAAGAGCATCCGACCACCGGGAGGAAAAATTTGTCTGTACGTTGTGACTGCTACAAAAGTATAGCGTCCAAGATATAAAAAGCAGTACCAGGTCGGCGGCGTGTACAACTTCTTTAGACCAATCAACAGCTGGTGTCGTCGGGTCGGAAATGAGTCCTGGAGGCCTAGCAAACTCGGACAGATACAACCTGCCAGGCTACTAACTTATTTGTCTGATCAGAGTACCAATGCGATCACTGTTTATTTTGGCGGAAGCGATTTGCCTCATGCCGGCGGGGTCAAGATTATGGTCAATTTTGTGAAACTGAAAGAACAAGTGGTTCCTTCGCACGGTCGATTCGTGTCCGCGAATCCACCCTTATGCCCGACAGAATTGTATAATTTCAAGGGCGAATAGGGCAAGCAAGTTGAGAGACGGGACCGAATGTTTGTCAGTGCCAAACTTGTCCATGAGCTTTATAACCCCACCGGATGGGCGGGTAGCACCAGCACCAAGCCCACCCTGAACTAGGAACAACAGTCGTTTTACGGAAGTCGACGAGACCTGTCGAAGATGTGCCGGGGAAGGTTTCCATTACTTCACTAAAGTAAAACTAAGACTGTCAGGTCGGGTAATTGAGGAGCCCCGTGAGAAGGCTCAGACAAGTTTATTCATGGTGTGAAGCCTCGGACACCTGGGTCTACAATCCACTATCGGGGACTTGGAACGCAAAATGTTGCAGTTATTCTGAGGAAGACCGGGATAGACCATTTTACTGCCCGGTGGTGTTCAAACTATACAAGATTGTGGTTAGGTCTATAGTGCACCCGTTCCTAGACCAGTGACTACGGTTTGGCCGCGCTGGCGGGCAGTTACTTCCGCGTTTTATAAGTTGTGCGGGAAGTGGTGACGTGCCCGATACCCTCCTGGCTGCGTTTATCATCTGTGCGTGCAGAAATGATGGGCATCGCAGTGATGTTTGTGGAGACAACTGCTTCCGTGTTTGGATATCCTTATCCAGCAACAGATGCAAGACTTGGACAGCAGGAAGAGACCAGAAGAAGAGCGATCGGCTTTCTTGCAAGAATCATGTCTTGAGGGTGAGTATTCCAGTCAGTGAAGTGTCTAGATTAGGCAAATTTGCACCGATGAAATTGAATGTATGGTCTCCTTCAGTATGCGTGGCCACCCCAGGATTCGAGTCGGCGAACTGAGTCATGAGCACATAACTACTGGCGTAAATTGGTATTGGACGAGTTAGATGGACACTTAAGACCATATAAACCACAGCATCTAACCTTGCCGCCAGCCGGTCTACGAGGAAGCTTGAGTAGCACATTGGTAAATGAACGTGGATGTAGATAACGCATCGCGTATTGGCCAAGCTGGCAGGGAATCCGACTGTATGTGCAGGGCAGATCGACCGGAGGCGGAGGTTCGACTCGGTCGAGTGGTCGCCAAGTTCTTATCTGGACAGGTGACCTGCCTGGTCATTTTTAGGCGCGCATACGTCATGCAACTGAGTTATTTCATTATTCAACTCGTCAGGTAATCTGGATTGAATCTGCAGCAATTCTAGGAGGTGTCTGCTAAGAGCCACCACAGCAAACCGCACGCACAGCATGATGACATGCGCATAACCGTACGGAAGAATGACCGTACGTTGAGGGTAAATATATACAACTGTGTCCCGGAAGACGGATAAAAACCGACAAATAACCAACTGGCAGGTGAAGCAGGTAAGCCAAATATAGGACAGGAGTGATGTGATGAAAGGTACACGAGTCCAGTGCAAAGGAAAAAACCACTGCACGTGCGTGTCCAGTGATCTAAAATCCTTACCTTCGATATGCATGTCTTCTTTGTGGTCGAAACTGCCGATGGCGTAAAATGCTGCCTCGAATGTGTCGGTGATCGTGACCTGGAGGCAGTTTTACGCATCAAAGAGGTCGACTGGGGTTTCCTAGTCATTGTTTCATTGTGCCTTTAAAGGAGACAAAAGCAAATCATACCGAACGGACAGTCTTGCAGACTCTCAGTATTCCACGTGCATAAAAGTTACTCTCCACATCTAGTAATGATACTAATTGCGATCTTCTGTTATTGGCCTCAGATAAAGCATGACAACTCCGTCTTGCTGTTCTGCCTGACGCAAGGCCAGTCAAATTCTTGAGTTGTTGGTAAGTTAGTGAATATGAAAGAAAATAAGCGATGGAGAAGTCGTGAAATTCCGAATGAGGCAACCAAACAAATTGCCAAGATACAAAGCAGTTTACTTAGGGAACTTAAACGCAGAGTTGGTTTTGTGGCAAACACATGCTCTGCATTAATGATGCGTTTGCGAAAACGCGCATGGGTAGGGGTCGGTTACGCTTCCCTGGTTCCAAGTGTAAGCGCAATGTGCGCATTGCAAGTAGGCCGGAGGACGCTGAAGTCGCCAGCGGGAAAGTAGTCAAGTCAGAACGGGAAAGGGCAACCTGAGTGGGGACGACTACGGATGTAACTGGGCACGGTAGCCAAACAGGAATCGGTAGGGATCGGTTACGCTGTCCTGATGCTGAGTATGAGCGCAAAGTGGGCATTGCAAGTGAAGTAAGCCGAAGGAGGATGCTGAAGTCGTTAGTGGGTAAGTAACCAAAGCTAGAACGAAAAAGGGTAATCTAATGTTTCGGTTTAGAGGCAGGGTTAGTTTTAGGGTTTGGGTTGGTGTCAGACTGAGAATTGAGTCTAGGGTCGGTGTGTTACGCTTAAGGGTCCCGGTTAGGGTTTGGATTGCGGTTTAGGTTTACGTTTAGTGTTAAGGCTGGGATTAGTTTTAGGGGTATGGTAGGGTTATGGTTAGGGCTAGGGTTTGCGGTAGGTCTAGGGTTAGGTTTGTTGTCAAGTTTAGGGTTGGCGTTGGGGTTATAACTAGGTTAAAGATTAGGTTTACTTTTGAGGTTTTGGTTAGGCTTACCATTAGGTTTTGGGTGTTGCTGTCCCACGTTTCCTGTCAGCCAGGTCTTTTTGTGGGGATTCTAGGCTTCTTTCGATCTCGCGACAGATTTGTCATACATCACGTTGCCCCTTCCGTTTCAGCCTCGGCTACTTTCCCCACTAACGATTTCAGCATCCCCTTCGGCTAACTTTGCTTTCAATGCTCACATTGCACTTACACTTGGGACTAGGACAGAGTACTCGACCCTTGATCGCGCATGTGTACATTACAGTTGAAAAGCGGATCGAAAAGGCTAAGCCTAATCAAATAATTTCCTTGCACTAGTTTCGCGGGCTAACAAACGCACTGGCATATACTGGCTTGTCCAAATTCCCCGGAAAATAATATCTACGAGACGTCGACAGACAAAGTCGTTAGGATCCTTTGGCAATTTACTGGAAAGGTCAACTAGTCCTGACTTCAGCACTGTTCACAATCTGTTCTACGATAAGAGATGAGTCCACTTAAGCTATATGACCTTTACACTTACCGACTCAAAATACGAAAGAAATTTTAGCAGCAGGCAACATCTTAGAAAAGTTGCTAGAATCGTAAAGCTACGCTTGTTCGGTACGGAGAAATTTTAAAATAAGGGTGTCCAATTACTATCCGGTCTGAAGACCTCACGAGTAAACTTCGCGAGAACGATGGCCTGAAAGATCTCCAGTGTGGAGAAGCGTTTAATTTGTCAGGATTTCCAGCTAGTGCTGATGCTTTATTCATCGTCTTCCGAAGTGGGCATGCCAATCCCTTTGTGTAGAGATTTCCTCATTTTCTCTTCTCTTCCGTCGAAAAAGTACATTGACGGGGCTTCAGGTTTGTCTGCAACCTCGAATTTCTGTTAAGTATAACGTCCCTCCTACGATAGTGAATATTCTTGAGCACAACCGAGAGGACAACAGGCGAGTGCTCAATGGCAGATCTTTGGACTACTTGACGCCCGACGACCAAGACACCGGTCCGAATCCCAAGTCATTCAAACCTAGGATTGGGAATGGCTAGTCGACGACGGCTAATAAATTAGAAATGGTCATCCTAGTCTCCTTTGTCTCTGTCGACACTCCTCCTACATGACATTTCGACCGTCGATTCCGATGATGTCCGCCGCGTGTCCCACAGCGTGGTTTGAGCAAGGACGGTGAATTGTGCTCGAATTAGTTTATGGAAATAGTAGACTTGCGCAGCATCCACCGGACCCGTCCTCCTCGTCCATCTGGACTCGGCATCAAGAAAAAATTAAGAAGACCGGAGGTGAGTGAGAGCGTAGATGACTAGTGCGGCATTACTTGCAATGCCGAGATCCAAATCTGATGCAGCAGATGGATGGAGAATTATGTGTGCCTGTCAAAACGACTCTTTGGTGAAATCGCTATCGGCAGTCGTCACTGAGGCCCCAAAACGACGTTATAAAGACAATGCAAGAACTCCTTGAAGTCCTTATAGAGAGATCATGACAACTGAGAGACATTTACGCTAAATTTACGAGCGTGATGATCTATCATCCGGGTCGATTGCATAAACGCGGCGAAGGCGAAGCGGCAAAGAGGACCAACACCGCCGATACTTAGTCTCAATCAGTATGCTATCGTTGAAAACGCCAGATTAAGGCCCGAATCTGGCTCGCCGTAAACTTGAGCAATATTTCACTGGAATCACCCCCAAACTATCCGCATTCCCCTAAGAATGCCAGCGGCATCGAGTAAGTAGCTCCCGCGCGCCCATATCTCCCCCCCCCCCCTCTTGCGTGAAACACAAGGTTATATTTGTTTTCAAATCCATCTCTGTTGCTTTTGCGCCTATCTGGGTCACAACCTATTACATATCTACAAAAAAGTTCGTCACCACCGCAGCGCCACTAACGCAATCCAGGTCTGTAATGCACAGTCTGCCACCTGCTGTAACTTTGGGGTGCCCTGCCGTCACACGTCGAATTACCCACTTTATTCTAGCATAAGTATTGTATTGTATTTTAGGGTAATAGGCAATGCCCTTGATGACCCTATTGAAAACGGTACATAAAATATAAATGTTAAATGTACATCTTACTAAAATTGTGTCAGTAACATATTTGTTCACGGAAAACTTATGCTATGGAAATCCCGCACAGTGGCTTACCGCGTAAGGGTAACAATACTGTGGCCTGTGCGAAGGGCCTCTGTCTCCAAAATTTTGGTCAAAAGATTGTGTAGTCAGCCAGTTAATGCTGCTGAACAGCACTAGCGTGTTTCCTCTGGGAAACAGACATTCGCAGGTATTTTTGTACTCTTTCATTTCGCTATCACCTCGAAGATCTCAGCGACAGATGGTAGGCTGCAGCTATAGACACTCATGTACCACAACTCCTTCAAACTGAGCAGTAGGCGAGGCCGAGTTGGTCAAATCTAGCCGCTCATGAGTGTCCGGTCCCATATTGACATCATCAGTGTACTTACGATGTTCTGAACTGTTAACACTGAGGAATTAGTGTGCTTTCGATTGCATGCAGTCCGAGCCCTAGTCGCATCCTCACAATGGCGTGGTCATAACCATTCTTTATGCTAGTTTCAACATTGTACGTAACGCCGAAATCTAGAATTGAACTGGCAAGGCATACACTGACAATTATGTATGGGGCTTGGCTTTAAATACTACGGTCACAGGAGAACCAGGTGACTGGACGTTGGACACACCTGACGGGGGTCTGAAGGTCGTAATAAGAAGGTTTTGTGTATCATTCGCATGCAGTGACGGAACATAAACTGCAACAACTATTATGTTGAGAGGAAGTAGACGCAATCGCCGGGACAAGAAATTTACTTGCCTGAGGTTTCCGATCCATGCTCGAACCTATCATCAGAGACAGCATCAGATGCGGGTAACTCATGAGTAAGGAGTTGCAGTCTTCATAGAATGCAGTCGCTATGTCACCACATACCTATCAAAACTAAGGGCTACCCCCTCAGCAAAGCTGGCTACCGTTAGTGTGATAACTGTTTGATGGCCGGGATTCGAGTCGTTGATCGACGCGAATTCAAGCATGGATCTCGAACGTCATACAGATAAACTTGTCACAGCGATCGAGCTTCTTCCTTCCAACTATTTCCTGGGGACCACGTTTTCGTTTGTACCGGCAACTATTGTAGTGACAACAGCGCCGCGAAAACTCATAAGTACAATCGTTGGCTACACATTTTCCCGACTCACGAATGAAGACTCTGTCTGATCAGTCAGGGCTATTGTGACACGCCATCCACTGGGGTCGACAATAACAAAACAGTGGCAGAGGCGAAATCATCTCGGCTCCTGGTACTTTTTTACTTAAAGCATGGTCTGGTAAGCGCACCTTAGAGATTCAAGCGACGTTCACGTCGTACTGCACCAGTGTAACATGGCAAAGCTCTGAGCTGCACGCGCAAGAAGACTTCTCACGTCCTAGAACGCAACACGCGATTAGTCGTTCCGAAGAAGGCATCTTGCATGCCTATTATATGCCCATATGCAGGGGTCCGAATGTGTCAGCACCCGTGAACACGGTAGCAAGAACGAAGATCTGCGATTGAGAAACTTTCGTAATAAATAGGTGTTTTGGCAGATTTTGAATAATTCATCTTGGCTGAACCGTAAAAAACTCGGAGACTTCGGTGGGATTCAAAACCACGACAGTAAGGGGAAAGCTTTAGTACAGCCAACCCTCCAGCAACCTGAATTACGAGGCCTCACGAAGAGACGTGAGTTTAACCACATTTTAGTCAAGTTACCCGCCCTACTGCAACATTTGGAATCCAGCAAAGCTAATACATTAAGTTGACTGTCCATGCAAGATTTCCTAAGTAATCCATCGAGAATTCACCAGATGATTACTAGGATCACGTAGTACATTGGTGGATTCCAGACGTTGTAGTAGGCCGGGCGGGCAACTTGACCCAGATGTGATTAAACTCACGGCTTTCGGTGGGGCCCTGTAACTCGAGTTGCTAGACCGTTGACTGTTCTAAAGTCCTTCCCTCACTGTCGTGGGTTTGAATCCCACTGAAGTCGCCGTTTTTTATAACTGGGCCAAAATGAAATTTTCATAAGGCAGAAACTTAGGCAAGACAGAAACCGACTGTTAGAATAGTTGTTGGTTACCCTGTGCGTCCATGCGTAGCGGATATTGGGACAGCCCACATCGAAGGTCAACTTCTATACAGGCGGACTTTTGGGACTGGTAAAAAGGTACTAGAGGGCTAGCGGCATCAGTACTTAAATAGGGACGTTAAATTCTGACAACCGACCATCATACATGGTGCCACAGAGTTAGATGACTGTTGAGACATGTTGGGCATGACTCCACTCATCTACCTTGCGAACGTGGCCTCTACCTTACGGATATATTGGGGGTTGCAAAATCTAATTTTGGCCAAAGCAGCCAGTCTTACTATCGCGTAGGACTCTCCACCACCAAAAAAGTGACCTCTTTACAAAATGGGGCCGGAGGTCTAAAAACTGCAAAGCTGACAAAAACGTAGCTGCGCGGGCAAACTGACCCCTTATCAACTTTAGTGCCCGCCTTGCTGTCATTTTCCTTCAGGTTTCCGAGGGTTAAATGAAGATCTGCCAGCGGCTGGCCCTCGACGCACACAACAGCAAAGAGGGCAGAGTCCGGCCCAGCACACGCAGATTCTGTTATTGACTGAAGTAATGCGACTTGTTGAGGAAGATCCCGTTGGCGCAACCGTTTGTCTTCTTTGTCTAATTTCAGGAGTATTCCACCTCGATTTTTGCGAATTTCTGGATCCTGTCTCTTGATCTACCAAGTATGTTGTATGTAAAATCACACATTGACGACAACCTCAATTTCCTTTATTCTGTCAAGGGTATCGACCCAGACGTTTAAAGCCGCAAAAAAATCCGCGTGGGCGGACCTGAAGGCTTTCCACTTTGAAATCTAGATTGTAAACGAGTAAGAACAAAGTAACGGGTGCGAAGACGTACTTCTGTTTCGAGTCTGCACAACGTTTCCTCCGAGCAGTCAGGGGGGGATGAGGAACGAAAGGAGGCACAATAATCTCGACCGACAAAACAGGCGGACCATATTTCCTCGAGCTCAAGCTGACATTTTCTAGTTATATTTTGAATATTTTGTAGACGCAATGCATGTAGGCGCTCAGACTCAGCAAGACCCTGTGTTAAAAAATAAAGATAATTCTAGAGCTACTAAGAATAAATAAAGTAAATTTGCCATTAAGCATAAAATGCGTGCATGCTTGGCCTCTGAGAAAAGTTGACATGAAACTAGATATGGAACGATGCCATATTACTATTAAATGCAACATGGAAGAATGCATGGCCCCGAAATTCAACAGTTTGTAGGCTTTAAGGAAACTTAATTGTGCCTTAAGGACACTTGTTGCTTTAAGGAAACTAAAAGTGTGAGTGATCGCATGTGTGCAAAACAGACCGCTGCGAAAAAAAACACTAACAGCGGTCGAGAGAAACAACAACAGAAATAAGTATAAACAGGTCTGGAAATAGACACCGTTCGGGTAGTGTGGACTTTGGCCTAAGTAATCCTGGGTGCAGTGATTGATGTCGGATAGACAGAATAAATTACTCATAGGTCTGTAAAATACCGTGGCTTAGGTTCGCCTGACAGAAGTTGATACTTCAGCGAATAAAAGATTGTTGAGATTCTATTAACAGACATGTCCGTCGAATTAAAGTGGGCACGTACTCCAACATGACTGTTAATGCGTCCAAAATAACCTCCAAGAGGCGTCAGAGTGTCGAGCCACACAGATAAAAGTTGCCGAGGCTAGCCACTCCAGGAAGACAGCTGTTATAGTATACGCGACGCCCTAAATTTCAACCAAGTTCCCATTGTCAGTAATTCGGTCACAATGTCAGAGGCTAGGGAGTGCTGGATTTAAAGATGTGACACGCGATACAAGATAATTGCAACAACCATCGTATTGACGTGAGCTTAATACAGGTTGATTGTAACTAACGGTCACCAAAGTGACGGGTAACCTATAGGAACTACCAATGGCCAGTGGAAGTGACTTCTCATTCTGGATACGAAGGTCGCAGAAACCCCCTGATCCAAGACGGACTTTGTACATTTACATTTTTTGACTTACGTACTCAATAAATCGTCCTTCCACAATACCGCATTCCGACTTTACCATCTTCGGGACGTGGGGGTTCGCTGTGACTCGTTTCGGGGTTTTACGTTAGGCGACCGTTCGTCATGGTTGGCGTTTACGGCCAAAAAATCGAGGCCGCGATAAATGGAAAAAACGAGAAAAAGCCCGCGCGCAAAATTTTTTCCAAGGTGCGGCCAAGTGCGGCCAATGTGTTGATGGCCAGACCACAGCCACACCATTTGGCCGCACCTGGCCGCAGCATAGCCGCACTTGGCCACACCATATTTGCCTCGGCCAAGTGCGGCCAAGTGCGGCTGGTGCTGACAGGGTAAAGTCTTAACATGGAGTCAGGTTTGGTAGAGGAAGATAGAGTTCAGATGTAACAGTACACCTAGGTCGCAATAGCACGGTAGTGCAATGCAGAAACGGATAAAGTACGGAAAGTTTCATTCAGTTAATGAATATGAACGTCGAAGAAAAGGAAATGGAGTAAAAAAACTTGCCGGAACGTACAAATTCGATGCGAGAAACCGCTGTGCAAGACTGGCTTTCTGGAATCTTGCACGGCGACAAGCCCAAACGGCTTCTTAGGCTACTTATTTTGTCATATATTTCCTCTTCGCGACGATGGAAAGTCTGGTAACGCTCAAAACAATTTTCCTCAGCGTCCTCCGCCTCTTTAATAAAAGCTTCAGTCAGGTGACGGCAATCCTCCAAAGGAACCGTAAACTTCATTATGGTCTCAGAGAGGTCGGAGAGACAATCCACACCGAGATATTCGACATATGACTTAATTTTGCTAGAAATCCTTAAATAGACCTCTTCTCTATGTTTCTATCAAATGTGATTTAGGGTTGAAATAAGATACTTTTATGCCCGCGAGCTCGTCAACGCGCGTTTGTAAAACAGCCTTTTCAGATGCAGTTGGTATGGCTTGGAAACCTCTCAAAACATCCAGGCCCAGAAATTCGCAAAGCTCTGTTTCAGTACGTTGCAGCGCACGAAATTCCGCGGTAAGCTCCGACACTTTTTCAATAAGCACGGCCTTTCGGTTGGAAAGTTCGGACTGTTGTTCCAAAAGAGGCTTATCCTGACTGGAATTATCAGAGCTTATTTGCAAATCATTTTCCAAGTTACGGACCTCTTTCTAAATTGTGGTATGAAACGAGAAAGAGAAATGGAAACCCGCAAGCCGTCAATGTTCAAAGACAGATCATCGAGGACTTGGCGCTCATTTCTTAACAGCTCATCCAAAAATAAGGAGGCCGTGCGCCGGATTTCACTTTTTCTTGCATTAAGAGTTTCGCAGTCGTAGCCGATTTTCCTCCAGAAGGTCTGGATTTCTACCAAAACGTTTTTCACATTCTCTGCAAGTTCATCCTTCCAGAAATTATCTGAATTCATTTTACGGTCCCCAGTTACAATATGTACAGCTCAGTACGTGCCCGTATACTGTACAACGACTAACCAATAGCCATTCAGCGGGACGCCTTAGGGCTAGTATCCAAAATGTCCGCCTTGTCCTGGCATTTCATAAATGTAAACGGATTAACAAAGGCCGAACCACCGACGACTTTGATAAAGTTGGGTAGGTAAACGAATATGCGGCTTTTTTATCACCTAGGCGACGACAGTGTGAAATTTTTTTCATCTTAGATCGTAATAAATTAGTTTAAGGGTCGTCGCTGCCGTTTGGACCGCTTAATTGTTACAAGCAATGGGAATATATCAAAAAATCTGACAACAGTTCATTAAAAAGGTAAAAAATAAATATTAAAATCCATGCAAATGGATGAATGATTTCGACTGCAAGCAGTGATAACAGACAAATATATATTAGTTAGTTTATAGCACAGTAGTCCGTTTAGGCACGAGCATCCTGCGTAAAAAGCAATACGACGTCAGTCGTCCCTGAGCGCCAATCTGAATGTCAGCAAATATATAAGAGTTGGAACCAACAAATATTCCAGCAAAAACTTTTCTGGAATGTATGCGACAGTAATACAACGATAATACACTTTTACTAATCTATGTTCCTCTCGAAAGCTTCGACAGATGTGGGCATTGCGATACCCGCAGGTAGAATAATTCAAGCCTTAATCGTGGTTGGGAGAGAAGGGCTTCTTTATGTCCATCCGCATCCCAGTCATATGTTATTTCGGTGGATGCCCGCGCAGGTTCGTCGTGGCTTCTAACTCGAAAAAATTTCCGTGTATGGGACAGTAGTCCTGTCCGTGCGTTATGCAAAATGTCTATATTAGGTCTCCTGGTAGCCGCCTGCAACTCATATGAAAGATGTTAATATTAGATAATCGTGGCTCATAGGATAGCGAGCCGTGCCCGGTAACAAGTCAGGTTGGACGGCTTTGAACTTCTATGACGTTTTGTAGGTCGTCACCTGTCCTGGGTCATCAGGCTTAGATTGCATACTCCGGCTGCGGCCGCACAAAAGTTAGAAAAAAGTTAACGAAGTAGTCTTCATCAAGCAGAATTTTGGCATAATCCCCGGAGATGGGTTCGAAGTACTCTCATCGGCCGCTCTCAAGCTGACCCCGTCGCCGGCCAACAGTAGGTAGCGTTTGTGATTGAGAGCGGTGTCCCCCAGGCCTTCGTTATTGACCCCCATCTGTTCATTACATACGTCAGCGACAGCATCAATGAGCTGGATTATGATAGAGTCGTGTATGCTGATGTTTTCAAACTTCGGAGCCTCAACCGAAATATAAGAGGATATAAAAGTTTTATTATGACCCCTCCTGGCAGCTGTTAATCTTCTTCGGAGACCTTAAAAGAACCTAAACGAAACTCATCCATTTCGGCCACACCTTAACATCATTTGTTTAGGGTGTCAGATTAGTTAATAGAGCGCGAATCGAGAGTTTGTTCTAAGTTTAAAAAACTGAGTCCCAAGGCAAAATAATAGCAGAAAATAGAAAAAACGATATACACAAAGTTGAGATTGAAGTTTGGAGTTTGACAGTTTTAGGGGTCATGAATATATAACCGTTCGTGGAGCTTGAAGAAATTTCACTTCGACATGACATTGAAATTATATTCGAGTTGGATAAATTTTGAGAAGGAATTTCCTGGTCTTTATGTAAGATTAGATTGGGTTATGACCTTTCTTAATAGAACTTGGGAGGGCATTCCAGATGACCTTATATCTTATGGAGTAGAAGTTTGATCGTTGGATCTTTTTGAATCTGGGGATCCTTTCAATACCTTCGTTATTTCTAGTGTCTCGGGTTGGGTGTTTTGGTTTGTTAGTAATTTCATTCTAAGAACATCTTGGTCATGCGCAACCTTGGACAGGAAGTCAAGACCATTTTGGAGTCTTCTGATCCAGAGGGATCGAAGACGGTATTTATGATATAGTTATAAATATGAACCTTGGGTGCCAGAACATTTGTTTAAAGATCTAGTAAAACGTCTTTGAATGCCTTCTAGTTTCTCTCAGCCATCTGTGGACACTATGTCAACAAAAATCGAGCAGTAATCTAAGAGTAGTAAAACGAACATTTTGAAAAGTTTATGCTAGTGCATTTAAGGTGAAATTTTGACGTATGAATCCGCACAGGCAATTGGCTTCCGGTGAGATTTGTTGAACGGGGGGAGGAGGTAAGGCAGGGGTATTTGAAAAGCCCAGTCCTAAGTCTTTTACTGATTGGGCCTTCTTTATTCCATTATCCTCGAAAATTATGGGAGGAAGATTTGTGGGCCAAAAATCAGGTAGCATTTTGTCGGTGAGAATGGCATTTGCCACTGACTACTCCACTTCCTAAGTTTTCTAAGATCGGTTTCGATTGTTCTGTGCATATTGGCTACTGTTTGACCATAATATGAATATGCGGGTTTAGGTCATCTGCACATCGGCAAATGGCGTTTGAAGGCGAAACCAAAGTTACTCATACAGTGGCCTAATGACTGCCATTTGTCTTTCAGTGTGAGCAAGTACAATAGTCTACGAGCCGCCGGAACCCAAACTTCGAACCCCAGGGCTCTCCTTCCGAATGAGATACCACTGAACGAGATGGGCCTCCATGTTAATTTAAGTTTGTGGATGACGACTTCACTCAAGCTATATTTGTGATACTTCGACGCAGACAAATCCGCTATCTCGAGCCTATACCTTGTTGATCGGGCTTTCTCTAACCTTGTATGCTTGTATTTGAAGGGTTATGGACACAGCCCCTAATGACCCTATTTACGTACAAATATTTTGATAATTCGTACTTAAAATAAAGTTGCAAACATTTATAATATGTTCGTATCACAATAAAACCTTAGTACTAAGGATGCGTATGTGTCCTCTGCGTGTCACTACAAAAAGACGGAGTACAAAAAAGCGTCTAACAAATCTGTGCGTAGTCATGTTGAAAAAGTCGGTCTTTGACGAAAATTACGTGACTGAGTTTTATCCTAAGCATGAAAATCGTGTCGGCCGTCACCAACTCACAAAGTAACAAGCTCCATGGTAACACAACCCGTTGGCTGAGGGAGAACACTCTACAATCGAGCCACTGCGTCTGCTCTTAACTTCGTAGGGGGTGGCCGCGCAATTGACTTGTAGTGGAAAACTCAAAGAAGTCATTCGGTCTCAGTGGTCAACTTCGGCCTCGAACAATCCGAAATGTCCAATGTGGACCGAAATTTAACTGCCTATAAGACATTACGGATTGGCCGAGGCCGAGGTTGCTCACTGAGATCGAAGGACGTCGTTGAGTTTGCGACTACAGGCCAATTACGCGGTCATCCCTACAAATTCAAGACCGAACGCACGCCGCCCAATAGCAAAACGTTTATGGCAGTCCACGCCTCCTTGTTCTTCGCTATTGTTTGTGCTGCCCTTCTGTCCGCCCTACACTCCCTGTCAATCCGCTGCTCGGACTTGGGAGAGCCGTCATTAGCCTCGCGAGTGTGCGTATCTCACGGAGGGAGAGTGTCATAAAAACCACATTACGAAAGGAGCCATTGAAGGGTGACTCTTAGATCACCAGCCAGACATCCCACACAGTAGACAACAGCACGTCTACTGCGAGATCCAAGTTGTCCCCTCAGTTGGCAACCTTCCAAACCACGGCTTTTAGCGTCCCGTTATGGCTTCAAGCGCATGTGATGGTGTTTATAGTGAGGAATATGCGATAAGTCGGCGACCTCACTCTCCCATCCTATTCTCAGGCCTCTGTCACTGTCCGAGCCGGTCAGTTGACAGTTACGTGAATGGGCGCGGTGGTCGACATATCCAGTGACCTTTTCTGTACGCGCCACACGCAGGAGCTACCGCTCCAAACACAAGCACCAGGTTTTCACGCAACGGGGTTAGGCGGCATACTTCTCACATGCGTGAGAGTGCCAGAGGTCGCGTTAAGATAAAGTCGTTTCAGTTTGGATCTCAGCCCACCAGTTCGCCACTACACACAATCACAGACAGACTGCGTGGACTGCGTTGGGGTGTCAGTCAGCAGCCTTCCGAGCCGCAGCGCTTGACGCGCCGCAGCCAAGGAGCCCTGTAGAGACGGAGACGAGATTCACACTTCCCCCTGGTGTGTGAAGTGGCAATCAGATGCCTGTGGTTGACGATGATGATGAGTGGTGCAGGTTTTGGTGGGGGAAGATGTGTCGGTGTGATGTAGCCGACGGTTGTCCACCGCCGGTTTTCTTGAATGGGCATGTGGCCTAATAGGTCCATGGCAGTGAGGACAGTTGAGGTGGATGAATCGGTGTAGGGTGATTCCCCAGGCATTGGCTCGTCAGTCTCTGTAATGGATCCGCAAGCGACTGACCAGGTCGTTGAGTGAGGTGAATGTACGGGGAAAGCATGGACAGAAGTCGGCGGTGCTAGTGTCGGTTTCGGAGATGATGAGATGCTATAAAAACTCCCTTTCTTAGAAATACGCAAAATGAATGTGGTTTGACCGTTTTTTAATGAGGACGAAATGTCACTGAAGGAAAGGCAAATATGCGGATGGGACAAGACATTCTGAAACTTAGCAACTATAAAGGTTCAAAGAGCAAGTCGTCAAGATAGAATATCCAAACCGGACGAGACTATTAGTTGCAAATGCGATCATAATACTTCTGTGGTGACTGCAGAAACATCCGTCAATAAGGCGAGACAGGAAAAACCCACCGTGATTGGTCACAGTACGCTGATAGTCCAGCCGAAGGGGGGGCATTAAAGGCTGAGGTGGTCATCAAAACGCGGGTAGATGCGGTCATGACAATTCATTGTTGACTCACCAAACTACTAGTAGTCGGCGGGAACAGCGGAGTCCTCCGTGATCAGCAGCAAATCGCTTGGGGTCGAAATTAGGGGATTCAATCGAAAAACCGCGAATATCATCACCAAACAGGATGAGTAATAACAGCAGGTTTATCAGCCACTTAACAATGGAGATGTAAAA